AGGTGACCGTCGTGCGGGCGAAAGGACCGACGCAGAACTCCACGCTCCACGAAACGAAGAACAACCGACGCCCGATCGAGATATGAGACACTCTGCTCCACGAACTCACGGCTCACTCTGGAACTAGAGTCCAAGTCCTAGTCCAAGATTAGTCCGGTTTAGTCCTGGTTTGTCCTGGTTTAGTCCTGGTTTGTCCATATACGGCGTAAAAGTTTGACTCTTCATTCACTGATTCTCACAGTTGTTTTGTTGAGAGTTAAAGTTCTGTAATATTGTGACGTAACAAATCACTTTGAAATGACAGAAACAAGAAATAAATAAAACATCACAGTTTTGAAGTCACTCGCCCAACTGTGGATCTCAGAGTCCTGTCCTTGTGTCCTTAGGCAAGACACTTCAGCAAAGAGACTTCAGCTCTAATCCCACGAGACACAAGTCCAACCTGAGGACATCTGGTCGTTTGTAAATAAACACTTATTTAAAACCAGGATGGACCAGGACTGGACCAGGACTGGACCAGGACTGGACCAGGACTGGACCAGGTCTAGCTCCGGTCTGTGGTCTTGTGGGTCTGACCTGGATAAACGGGAAGAGGAGTCCCACGGTGAAGTTGGAGAGCCAGTTCACAATCCCGGCGATCATGAACGCCGCCGGACGAAAAGACTGTTCAAACAACTCGCCCGTCAGGATGAACGGAATACCACCTGGAAAAAAGAAAGAGAGAGAGAGTCAGGATGGAGGAATACCACCTGGAAAAAAGAAAAGAGAGAGAGAGTCAGGATGGAGGGAATACCACCTGGAAAAAAGAAAAGAGAGAGAGAGTCAGGATGAACGGAATACCACCTGGAAAAAAGAAAAGAGAGAGAGAGTCAGGATGGAGGGAATATCATCTGAGGAAGTGTGACCATATTTGGGTTTGTGAAAACAGGACACCTCATGGACACATGGATCACATTTGGGAAAACTGGGAATTTCTTGTACAAGTCGACGTTAAATGAATGAATGAATGAATCATTTCATTTATACAGGGACTTTGGAGATCTCCAAAGTATTTTACACAACATTATTCACTCACTCCAGACCTGGTGGTGTAAACTACTGTAGCCACAGCTGCCCTGGGACAGACTGACAGAAGTGCAGCTGCCAATCTGACTTCCACCATCACACACACAACACACACACCACAAACACACACACACACTAACACCACACACACACAGCAAACAAACAACACACACACACACAACCACACACACACACAACAAACAAACAAACACACACACACACACACACACAACACACACACACACACACACACACAACTAACACATACACACTTCAACATGTTTCAGACTGACAGACTGTCTGTGTCTGTCTGTGTCTGTGTCTGTTTGTGTCTGTGTCTGTTTGTGTCTGTTTGTCTGTCTGTGTCTGTGTCTGTTTGTGTCTGTTTGTGTTGTGTCTGTTGTGTCTGTGTCTGTTTGTGTCTGTCTGTGTCTGTTTGTGTCTGTGTCTGTGTCTGTTTGTGTCTGTGTCTGTGTCTGTGTGTGTGTCTGTTTGTGTCTGTGTCTGTGCTGTGTCTGTCTGTCTGTGTCTGTGTCTTTGTGTCTGTGTCCTGTCTGTGTCTGTGTCTGTCTGTGTCTGTGTCTGTTTGTGTCTGTGTCTGTCTGTGTCTGTCTGTGTCTGTTTGTGTCTGTTGTGTCTGTTGTGTCTGTCTGTGTCTGTGTCTGTGTCTGTCTGTGTCTGTGTCTGTCTGTGTCTGTTTGTGTCTGTGTCTGTCTGTGTCTGTTTGTCTCGCTCCTTCTGATGCACAGATGTTACGAAAGATGCTCGGTTTAATGAACCAATGAAAGATCATGAAAACCCGGACATTTGTATCACTTAAAAAAAAATAAAAAAAAAAATAAAATTTGGACATTTGCATCACTTAAAAAAAAAAAAACTAAGAAAAATAGACATTTGTATTACTTAAAAAAAAAATTAAACAAAAAAAGAAAACTGGACATTTGCATCACTTAAAAAAAAAGGAAATTTCATCACTTAAAAAAAAAAAAACTAAACTGGACACTTGCATCACTAAAAAAAAAAAAAAAAAAAACTGGACATTTGCATCACTTAAAAAAATAATAAAATAAATAAATAAATAAAAAAAAAAGAACATTTCCATCACTTTATAAAAAGAAACCTGAACAGCCAAAACAGAACATGAAAAACAGACGTTTGGTCGCCCTAACCTGAGGAAAAGAGAGAGAGAGAGTCGGGATGAACAGAATATCACCAGAGGAAAAGAGAGAGAGGAGAGTAAGGAAAGAGAGAGAGAGAGACTGTTCAAACATCTCTCCGCTCAGGATGAACAGAATAACATTTGAAAAAGAGAGAGAGAGAGAAGAGGAGGAAGAGAGAGAGTGGAGTGGAGGGAGGAATAAAGGCTGAAAAAAAGAGAGGGAGAGAGAGTGGAGGGAGGAGAGGAGAGAGGGAGCAGAGAAAGAGAGAGGGAAAAACAGAAAAGCACGAGGAGGAGAAGGAGCGAGCGAGAGGGACGACGTGAAAGACGAGGAGAAAGAGAGAAGGAAGAGGAGGAGGAGAAAAAGAGAAAAGGAAGAGGAGAGGAAAGAGAGAAGAGGAGAGGAAAGAGAGAAGAGGAGGAGGAGGAGAGTAAAGTGTGCGTAGAAGCTGATGTGGGTTTTGCACAGTCAGCATTTCTTAAACCGAATCTGCAGGAAAAATACGAAAGAAACTCAAACAAGTTAAAGCCCCACGGCGGAACTTTTCATCTTCACAACAGGGTTCAACAGAATCTATTATACCCGCTTTTCTCTCAAGGACTCACCCTCTCTTTTTTTTTTCTCTCTTTTAACCTCTTCCCTTCTTCATAAACTCTGAAGTCTCTGTGTGTGGTTGTGTTTCCCTGGGGGCGGGGCATCTGACTTAAACTCTCTCTTTTTTCTTTCTGCTCTGGTTTGTTCTGGGAAAACTCGTCCGTCTGATCCGCAGGGAAAAGACTCGGACGCAGCAGCTCAAGTCACGATAAATCACAAAAACACAGTCAAAAATGTAAAAAAAAAAAATTTTTTTTAATTACAATAAACTTCAAAATAAGTAGCAATAAAAACTGGATCAGATTCTTTTGGATCAGGTGGATCTGTGCTCCTAAAACCCAAAGCCCGTTTCTTGAGTCGTTTTCCGCTGTTTGGATCCAACAACAACACGATTAACAACGTCCAAATCCCAAAACTAAAATATGACAATATCAGAACCAGAAACAAAAGTGAAATGATTCAAAAAACGTGAAAAAATCAACTTTGTCAATAGACACGTCCCACTGGGAAAACAAACATGGAGGTTTGATGTTCACTTTTTCACAGGATCCTTCCCGGTGTGATTTACACGATGACCTGAAGTCTGAGATTTGGGAAGTTTGTGTTGGACAAACATTATGTATTTGGCTTAACTTTTACTTCATGACGAGACGTTTTGAAACTTCTCTTTGAAAAATCTTGACTATTTATCGAAAGCTGTTAATCCGGATGTTGACAGTGACGAGGAACGGAACACCCACTCACACGGGAACACCCACTCGCACGGGAACGCCCACTCCACGGGAACGCCACTCAACGGGAACCCACTCACACGGGAACGCCCACTCACACGGGAACGCCCACCCCCACGGGAACGCCCACTCACACGGGAACGCCCACTCACACGGGAACGCCACACGGGAACGCCCACTCGCACGGGGCCCAACGCCCACGGAACGCCCACTCACACGGGAACGCCCACCACACGGGAACGGGCCCACTCGCACGGGAACGCCACACGGGAACGCACACGGGAACGCCCACTCACACGGGAACGCCACACGGGAACACCCACTCACACGGGAACGCCACACGGGAACGCCCACTCGCACGGGAACGCCCACTCACACGGGAACGCCCACTCACACGGGAACGCCCACTCACACGGGAACGCCCACTCCACACGGGAACGCCCACTCACACGGGAACGCCCACTCACACGGGAACGCCCACTCGCACGGGAACGCCCACTCACACGGGAACACCTTGTTTCTGTGCAGGAGGATGTGGCTCATTTGTGTGCAGGAGGATGTGGCTCATTTGTGTGGCTCGTCACTGCGGGAGGACGTGGCTCGTTTCTGTGGCTCATTTGTGTGCAGGAGGATGTAGCTCGTTTCTGTGGCTCATTTGTGTGCAGGAGGATGTGGCTCGTTTTGTGTGGCTCGTCTCTGTGCGGGAGGACGTGGCTCGTTTGTGTGGCTCGTTTGTGTGCAGGAGGATGTGGCTCGTTTCTGTGGCTCGTTTGTGTGGAGGAGGACGTGGCTCGTTTGTGTGGCTCATTTCTGTGCAGGTGGATGTGGCTCATTTGAGTGCACGAGGATATGGCTCGTTTCTATGGCTTTTTTTGTGTGCAGGAGGATGTGGCTCATTTGTGTGCAGGAGGATGTGGCTCGTTTGTGTGCAGGAGGATGTGGCTCATTTCTGTGCCTCGTCTCTGTGGAGGAGGACGTGGTTCGTTTGTGTGGCTCGTTTGTGTGCGGGAGGACGTGACTCGTTTGTGTGGCTCGTCTCTGTGCAGGAGGACATGGCTCATTTGTGTGCAGGAGGATGTGGCTCATTTCTGTGGCTCGTCTCTGTGGAGGATGACGTGGCTCGTTCTTGTGGCTCGTCTCTGTGGAGGAGGACGTGGCTCGTTTGTGTGGCTCGTCTCTGTGTGGGAGGACGTGGTTCTTGTTGGCTCGTTTGTGTGCAGGGGACGTGGCTCGTTTGTGTGGCTCATTTTGTGCAGGGGGACGTGGCTCGTTCGTGTGGCTCGTCTCTGTGGAGGAGAACGTGGCTTGTTTGTGTGGCTCGTTTGTGTGCAGGGGGGACGTGGCTCGTTTTGTGTGGCTCGTTTGTGTGCAGGAGGATGTGGCTCGTCTCTGTGCAGGAGGACGTGGCTCGTTTGTTGAAGGAGGACGTGGCTCGCATTCACACAGATCTGACCCTGACCTTGAATCTGCCGCGGCTCGTCCCACAATCTCACAGAGGAATTAAGAGATTAAACCCACAACCCGACGATCCTGTTTCATCGTTATTCACGACGGGATGAGCCCAGGATCAACGCCAAACAATCACGCCATGCTAACACGCTAACACGCTAACACCGCTAACACGCTAACACGCTAACACCGCTAAACGCTAACACCGCTAACTTTAAGGTTCAGACAGTAACCCCAGTTCTCTGAAGCACTGTTTACTGTTTAGAGTCTCAGGGGGTGAGGAGTGGGCGGGGTTGGGGGGGGGGGTTGGTTATCATCAGGAGCTAAAAATACACGAGGAACTCTCTGGAGCCACAACGACAAACGAGAGAACGACCAGAAGAACAGAGAGAAGAAGAGGAGGAGGAGAGGAACAGAGAGAAGGAGGAGTGTAAGAAAGAGAGATGGAGGTGATGATGTGTTTCATTTTCACAAACACAGATTTTTTTTTTTTCAGGCCTGAAGAAAAGAGACGGAGAGAAAAAGAGCGACGGAGAGAAGAGGGATGGAGGGAGATAAATAATGAAAGAAGGGAGGAGAGAGATAGAGAGAAGAGAGGAGAGGAGAGTGACAGATCGTCTCTTCCTTCGTTCACTCTCAGATTTATGAGTCTGTAAAAATAATTCCACTTTTGTCCGAGTCCGTGAATAAAACATCACCACCCCA